ATCAACAGATGACGTGAAGGGGAGGCATGAAGAATGTACAGAGCCACTAGGTGGAGATGTCACGCGGCTTCCAAGTTAAGGCCCGAAAGACTCTACAACTGGTTGGTTGGAGACATTGAAGGATATGGCAGCGAACCGACATAGTAACGTTCTGGTTGTCGTTTCTTATCAGGCCAGAATGCTTGAAACGGTATGTATGCAGAGTTTGATTGCGTACTCTGTGTTGATCATAGAGGTTCGCCTTCCTCCTCCCTCAAAATAGGTCCAGTCCCTGTCCACCTTTATTATTACCACTAATCCTGCATGCACTGCGAGTTTGGCAGCGGTCAGCGAAGTAAATCTCACTGTGTTTCACTGTACGATGATGATGTTCACCCTCCTCCCTCCCCCAAAGACCACCAGTGGGCGGATTCTTTTGATACTCCTTCGTAGGTAAACTAGTTCAATCATACATTCCGTCAGCTAGAATAGAAAAATTAAGGAAGTACTGAGCGATGGTGACCCAGTGGTAACGTCACCAAAGTATCGCCCCGAAGGACGAGTGTTCGAATCCCACCACCACCACCACCTAACATCACCATTGTGTGCTGCATGGCAGCCCTTTGATCGACCGCCTCCCCTTCTTGAAAACTGTATCATTATGTAATTAATAATAGTATATATATATATATATATATTGTAGCACAATAGTCCTCAATGAGAAATTAGAGTTCATCTATTTTCCATATACCGGCGCACAAAAGTGCATGATTATTCGTTGTCAAAACTGAACTGAATTCCATATACTCTATTAAATTATAAGATTATGGAAGATGAATTCCTCAGCGTAGGAAGCCACGTATCTTTAAGCACGTTGATAGGATAAATCGTTAACTAAACATGTGCGACCAGATCGAGTGGAGGGTCCATCCATTACCTGGTTGAAGCAGTCTTGCATTCTACGAAGTGTTTTTCTCAATGAGAAAGCATAGCTCCTCCGAGAGCCTCAGTATGGTCGCGAGTGGGTGTCTTGGGTTGCTCCTGGTCACCCCTCGCTTGCATCTCGCGAAATGCTCCCGTAAGACCAAGTGTCTCAAATAGCTTCTGATGAGGAAGCCCTACTCACTGCATTTTGGTAGCGGAGGTTTTCCCTACCCAAGTGAGAGGACGAAAAGCCGACATCTAGGGCTATAACCAGGTCCGTGGACTACTACGTAGGGGAGTTGGCTAAAAACCCTTTCTCCAAACCAACCAATAAGAGGAGTAATAGTGATCACTGGTTTGATTGAATATCAAGCCACATTGGGCACATTGGACGTTTGAGCCCGGCCGAACGGTGCGTGACCCGATTAACTGGACAATGGATTGCGGTTTTCACACACCGCCCCGCTGCCTTGCGGGTCAGGCTTAGGGCAACCGAAGGCTCCGGTTATGAACTCCCTAAGAAAATCCATCCACCTTGGTCTGGGCGATCAAGCAGATCGCGGACGTATGTCTTCCTACAAAGATGATTGTGGCGTGATTTGTTTGACAAACAGTCTGGATTCAGACGTGTGTGAAACACAACGAAATACGCGCGTATCCCCCGAGGGAACCGAAAGATTGCATCGGGGGTGGGAGGCTCCAAATAATATATGGCATAAAGTAGACAATGACAATGATAAATGATCCTGATATTTCAACTTTACCTTGTATGGCACATCGCACAGCGTAGGATTGTTTATGCGATGGAAACAGCCTTCTAAGAAGTGTGAACAGCATTCCGGACTTGAAATTAAGAGAGTCAAGTTGCTGCATGATCATTCCTGTGCATATATCTAACACATCAGAGACGTTGTTTTATTTTCCTACAATACTTCTTCAGGGATTAACGAAATCTCGCAAACACAACCCACACTTTGAAGATACGCATTAAAATCACCAGCCAACAGGAACCTATTCTCCACTGACATCTGATGTCAACTTCAATCACCGATAGAGCACATTCAACAACTGCGTTGATCTCAAGTGAAAAAGGACAGTGTTAAACGATTATTCATATTCGGAAAGAGTAACAAATGCGGCTGGTAAAAGTGGTTTTATGCGCACCAAATATAGCTCATAGATTATGCTATAGAATACGGAATGTTTTACACACCCTCGCCTTTTGCAGATTCCCGCGAACGCATACACGTAAAATCACAAAATTTTGTGTGCATGTGTTCTGTTTCACCACTATACTACGCTCGATGATAGAATCAAACTTTGACCAGAAAAAACATTTGATCCTGGATAATGTGTCTGAAGGATGGTAACCGCGCACCGAAAAAAAGTGCATGCCACACCTCAACAGTTGGACAGAATGAGTAACAAAAAGTCTCAATCGATGGTCTGTGATATGGAGTTGCGCAAACCTTTATATACTGAGTGGTTCGTGGACGAAGCTCACGCAGTTTATTGAATACAATTGCGGATTAGGACCTTTCACACAGAAATTATGTGATGCGGTGGTGGTCAAGTGGTTAGATCACCAACTTGTGATCTGGGAACCCCGGGTTCGAACCGCTCCACCGCCGCCCGTCTTCCCAGGCAGCCCTCATATGGCCGCGGCCCCCCTTCCTGAGTGTTGACTGTACATTGTTATATTCAATAGATAAAAAAAGAAGTAAAAAGACAAAAGACAAGACAGACAATCGACGTGGCAAAAAATACCTATCAACAGGGACTCGGATGTAGAGGGAAAGAAAATTTTCTGATGAATTCACCTAGAGTTGTCAGCAACTTGTTAAGGGGGACAAGCTGTTAGACATCTGAAGAGAAACGTGAAATAGGAGAACAATTTTCATGGGTCAAAAGTCAAACTCTACTTACTGCATTCAACCGAATGAAAAGCGCTTCAAACCTGCCGAGGCCTGTGCAATCGAATATTTATGTCCGTCATATACATCAATTATTACAAGTGTCAAGGTAGTAACTATGTAGAAGAATGATAGTAATGTTCTGTACGACTAAATCAATGAAAAATCGAATCAACCGAGTGGAAGATTGAATCAGATGGCACCAAGTGGTTCAATTTTAAGTACGACGGCGGATTATTGTGCATTTTGTATCCTTGAGGAAGAGCCACTTCAACTTCAGTTGCCAGGCATTCACTGGTGTCCGCCTGATGGCTTAAGGCACTATCTTAACTGACAACAAATCAAGAGTGGGGGTTTTCGAAGGAAAACGAACAGCCGGCCCGCAGATCAGAGCTTTGAACGACCTGGCAACGATTCAGAAAGATCAGCTGGAATTCATACATCCCCAACAGGATAACGCCATCATGGATACCGCTGACATTAGTACCACTTACAATTTTACTTTACTGCAGTTGGCTCCTTGTAGAGGATAAGTGGGCTAAACGAATGTCTGATAGCGCACGCCCATACCCAGCGAACGGCGGCAACGTCTCTGTAAATGCGGATCAAGTTGGTCTTCCACTGACAATCGGCGTAAGTCGTCCGAAGACAAAGTTGGTCTACGTCTTCGAACAGTATCCAGCCAGGTTTTCATTTGTTCTTCTTTTGGGCTGCACTTGCTTGGGCCAAGGGACCACAGCAACTAAAGGTGGTCAGATTTGAGGACAAAGTGCCCAAAGCATCGTAATCGGTAATGCTGAATGTGTATTAACAGACCGACGATGAGACAACTGCTTCTAATGGACTCGTTCCAGATACAGTTTCGTCACTTCACTCTCAACAAATATCAGAGGCATCAATGATCAAATCATCTGATATCTTCAGTTCCCAACAGACAGGCTTCACTGCCATATCTAGGGACTGGGTGAACTACTGGGGAAAACACCCTTGGTTTTGAGACTAACCTCGTTTCTGTGCTAGAACATTCTTGATCAGTAAAACGCTGTGCAATCCTTATCTTTGCACCGCTTATCCGTTGGATGGTGAACCTAAGGTACTTGAAGTCAAAACCAATTTCTTTTGTCTGACTGTTCGACTGTAGGGCTCGTCCCGTATGACCAGGTAACGCCAAAAAAAATTTTGGTTCCGGCAGCGTTGATCTTCAGACCAATGTTTGAAGCATATCCGTTGATGTGTTTAAGAGCCGTTTGCAAGGTAACCACGTCATCCTCAGGCACCACTACACTATTGGAAAGTTTAAGGTTGGTGATCTAGCAGTCAGTAGTAACTAGGACGCCTCGATAACTTCCCACTGCTTGATTCATGACCCACTCGACAACGAAATTGAATACCGTTGGAGATAACGAACATCCTGAAACTCAGTTCGAACCAATGGGATTATCAAAAGTAGGTATGGATACGAACCTATGTACTGGCAAAATAGGATTGTATTAGATTAAACAGCCTGACTAAGACGCTATTTCTCATTATATTAAACACTGACTCGCGGTCTATCGCATTGCATGACGTGCGAAAGTTGATGAAACATGTGGTAATGGGGCACGAGAGATTATGACAATGTTCCAGATTTATCAGAAAGATGAAAACTTGGTCGGTGTACCCCCTTGTTGGGATGGATATCTCCCTGATTCGGCCGAGTGAGTGAACGTTTCTTAGTGGCGAACCGATTCAGTACGAGCTGGATGAGAGCTTTTGCAGTTAAGCCCAGCGAGCTTTTGGACTGCACATATTCATCCGTCACCCTTCATGAGGAATGGAAGTAGAACCGAAGTGGATCGATCTGGAGTGCACCTTTCGGTCTCCCAAATATAGCGGAATATGGTATGAAGTGGTTTGGCGACCATTGGGAGGCATTTCTCGAAGATTTCGATTGGAATCCTGTCTTCGCAAGGGGCCTGGCCGGAATCCATCCAGTAGACAACAGTAACTATCTCCTCTAAGGATGAGAGGTTACAGTTGATATCGCACAATACCAAAGAAAGTAGATACGCTTAACACAACTGGAATGAGAGTTGGTTGAACACTTTCAACTTTTATTACACACTTGAAAATGAATGAAAATATGACTGCAACGAATCGTATATCTAAAACTCGTTTGATGATAGCAATGCTAGCATGATGTTGTAATTTGAATTGGACTTCAAAACAATAGAGCCCACTTCGAATCCACGTACAATGTCTGCGTGAATCAACCGATGGTCTTAATAGACGAGTGTTTAGGTTGTATAACGACATACTTACCAGTCGCTGGATCAGATAATCCTGAGACAGGTCGAGGGCCAACAGATCGCGAGTTGACCACCTCGGTCTGAACACCGACACGATTCGGGCCCATCTGATTGGGTGGCATTCGATTGGGTGGGGGTTGTTGCTGCTGCTGGGTTTGCTGTTGAGACATACCAGAATTCGGACCGGACATCATGGGCCCATACGGCTGTGTCGGTCCCGCGTTAGGATTCTGCTGTGGTATGGGTGAAGAGATCGGGCCGGTAGGATTTGGTGGCCGGGGACCACCATATCCGAGGCCAGAGTTACGACTGACGGAAATATTTTGTTGCTGTGATATCATTTTCTCGCCATTTGGTCCGATTACCTGAGTATAGGACTGCTGATTAGCGAACTGCGTAGGAATTGCATTGGATAAATGATGGCCTGTAGGGATCATATCGGTCGCCATGGAATAGGGAGGTGGTTGTTGCTGTTGGGACATGTGCATCTGCGAATAACTGTTAGTAGTTTGGGCTGGAGCACTAGAGAATCCAGGATGGGTGGGTCCTCCGGAAAGCATATTACCACCAGCACCCCCAACGGTATTATTGCCATTGCCACCACCACTCAACCCAGTGGGATTCGAACCAATAGTGGAAAGTTGGTAGACATTTCCCGTTGGACTCGAAGTAAGTGTCGGAACACAGCCGGTATTTTGTTGACCCATAATCCCAAAACCAAATGAATCCCTGTCAGTGGAATACATATCCGGTCCATTTTGTAAACCAGGTTGTAGTACTGGAGGATACGCGCAAGCAGGTCTATCGAGTTAAGAATAATGAAACCTGATCAATTCACAATACAGCATTAATGTGGCATCACCAGTAATAATATGTATAGCAATATCTTTCACAAAGTAATCATAGAATAGAGATTTCAACAGAGCTTGTAGAACAATTGTTCTGAAAACAAAGTTGAACAGGATGAAATGGGGCGGTGGTGGCCGAATGGTAAAGATCATTAAATCATCAACCCAAGGGATGTGTTCCAATCCCACCGCCACCGAATAACTTCGCCATTCTACGTGTGGTATGACAGTCCTTCCTGAAAATTGCGCTTTTTATTCAATACATATTAAAAAGAAAAGAAAATCAGACGCGCCGGAAATCTCAGTGAGATGAAGATAAACCACGGTTTTGCTAAGAACTCCGAGTAAGTCGATAAAAGCAGTGAACTAAATGCGATAAAAAAAGTAAGCAGAAAAAATTTAGACAAACGCCTGGAAACAACCACAATAAAGCCACCGATAACGGATACCAACGGTACAATGTCAACAATAGTTGCAAAACGATCTTTGAAGCGGAGCTCTCCGATTGCCTACCAGTTCAACCACCAGCCGAAGGACTCACTGAACAATGAAAGCAAATTAAGGAAGCCATGCAACTTTCGATAAAAATCAACGGCGGGCCCTAGCACAGGCTCAAAGCACAAACGATGGATATCGTCAACCTCGCTGGACGCCAGCAGAACCATTTCTCCTACTGATACATACGACAACGCGAACATGGAACATTTTTCTTTGTCATAAATATTATTGTACCACGATCTGTTTGGCACACAGTCTGGCTTCAGACTTGATTATATATATATATATATATATATATATATATTGAATGACAGCCGAATCCGCACCCCTCGATTGGATCCCCGTCAACAGTTGATGCGGCTCCAAGGGTCTGTCAGTGTCCGGTGGGGAAGCAACACCGAATGCACTTCTGACTCACAAAAGGACGAGTCTTATGATCAACTCACCGAACTCAGTCGGTTTAGCCGAAGCTCCAATATAGTTGTTCCTGCATGTGATTTTAACGCTCAGGTTGGAAAACTGAGCACATGGGAAGCTTGCCTAGGCGTTCATTGTACTCTGCCCTGCAGCGAACAGATAGTGGTGACCGACTTCTTCAGTTCTGCACAGATTACCACCTGTTCCTATCCAGCACAGCTCCCAACGTACAGCAGCGTGGTGCACAAATTCAAGTGGCACGCTAACTCAGGACGACCACATAACATAAGTTACCCTTGGCGTAGCTCAGTACAAAACCGCAGGTCCTACTGGATTACCGGCGTTGAATCTGATCATGCGTTAGTTTTGATGCAGTTGACACTCCAAATCACTGGCCGCCAAAATCGATTGGCAGATCATCGTTAATCTGACCCACCCGTTCGTGCCCGTTTTGAATTAGAATTAGGGCGAGAGCTAAACGCGCCGCGGGGTGGTGTAGGTGAACAATGGGATCAGATTAAA